CATGCTGGCAGGAGAACTACAGGGACTACACCATTGGAAAGAAAACAAACAGTATCCAAAAACTAACAAAGACATATGAAAATAATTAATGTATTTTAAAAAAGTGTGCTCTGAGATGTACTCAAAATCTTCAAGTCAAATAAATGATGGATGTTCTGGCCAGACAGAAAGCCTTTATTCTATGACTGTGGGTACCACAGCATTGAGAAACAACTCTGGTTTTACCAGTACTACATAAAATAATCACTTTGCTTTTAGTTTTACTAATTTTCATTTCATAAGTGATTTTTCCTTGACCTTGAACAGAATCTCAGACCACTAACAATAATCTGTTATATCTTGCTAACAGTATGCCCAAAATCTTTGTTAGTTGACAGAGGACTCTAACAACAACTATAAAAACTCTAGAAGGGAAACTTTCTTCCTCTAAATGAGGGCAGTGTGGGAAGTTGGCCATCTGCAAGACAGCCTTCACGAAAACCCAACCATACTGTCAACCTTCTCTTGTACTTGCAGCATATATAAGAGTGAAAAAAATTTCTGTTGTTTGTAAACTACCCAGTTTGTAGTACTTTGCTATGGCAGCCTTCATGAATAAGATCTACTACATGGATGAGCTTTGGGGACATTATAGTTAATGAAATATGCTAGTCACAAAAGGAAAACTGTATTATTTCACTTTAATGAGGCATATGAAGTAGTCAAATTCATAAAGCCATTAAGTGATATGGTGGCTTTCCAGCTATGTGGAGAGTACAAACAGGAATTGTTTGCATGTGTGTATGAATTTCAGTTCTGTATAATGTTCTATACAATGGAATACTAATCAGCAACCTAAAAAGGATAAACTCATGTCATGTGCAGCAAATCTGGATGGAGCTGGAAGAGATTATGCTCAGTGAAATAAGTCAGAAGGGAAAAAAAATATCAGATGGTTTCAATTATAGGAGGAATATAGAAAAACCAAATAAGGGATCAGGAAAAAAAAAACAGGATTAGCAGGCAACTATAAATCAGAGACATTCTGCAGAGGAAGGGGAAGGAGAGGGATCAAAACAGAGTGAGGAAGTACACAAGGGGCTCGATAGTAACAGTGCACAGGTGAACTGGTGGTGGGAATTTTATAGGGACTACAACTGAGGAAAAAGCAAATATTGTACAAAAATGAACAATGATATAAAGTACATTAAGTAAATAAATTTTAAAAATGAGAACGTTCTACAGATCTATCACAATAATTTTAATACAGTAAACACTATGAACTGCACACTTAAGGTTAAGATAAGTGAATTTTATGTTTTTACCACAATAAAAAACTTAATAAAAAAATTTTAAAGTAAATAATGAAGTCCAAATCACCTGTCTTGAAGAGGAAGTAATGGAAGAAATGAAAGGGAAGCAGATAATTTCCTTTCTTGCAGAGGTGTGTATTTTAATTTGTGGTACAACGCATACATGCCAGCTCCATACAAAGAAATCAAAGACTTAAAACCCTGAATGGGGGCCCTCCCTGGTGGCACAGCACTAAGAAGCTAAAACTCACACTTCTGCATGAGTTCGACCTCTGCTTGCCCCGGAGGTGATCCACATGGGGCTGCAGACCTCTCCTGACCTGCCCGCTTCTCCCCTCAGCAGACCTCTCCTGACCCGCCCGCTGCTCCCCCTCAGCAGTGTACTTCTGCCTGTTCTGCTCCCCACTCTGCCTCTGGTGAGTCCTTTCACCACCCCTGCACCTCTGGCCTGTACACCAGTTCTGTATGAATAAATAAATAAATCTTTAAAAAAAAAAAACAAAAAAACAAAACAAGAGTTTTCTAAAGTTTAAAGCAGACACTAACACCTCTCAGAGAAGCCTAAGCATTATGGTGTGTACCTTTAAGGCCCTATCTCTAGAAAAGAATCTTGCTCAGGAAGGACACTCTAGGGAAGCAGCAAGAATAATCAGTCTGTGCCAATCTGGATTATTGACTGTAAGCAAACAAAATGTATACTAGCAACTTAAGAGGCAAGGAATTTATTGAAGCTACTACCAACACAGATCCTGTGTTTCTGCATCATTCCCTGGATATTCAAATTCTGGAGTGGGAAGAACTGACATGCTAAGGGGCTGCCATTTAGTGTGATATTCCTTCCAGTAGATAAGATACTCAAATGGTAAAGGAGAGAAAGAAGGCAATTTAGCACAGTGGTCACTAAGTAGCTTAGTGCCATTTAAGTCTCACATACCCAGTTAGTTCAATTTAAAATAAATTGATAAGTTTCCCGTCAATTTCAGGAAACAGGAGAATCAAGCTAACTGGATTCTGATATTTGCAACGTGGCAGGCTATTGAACCATATAGGACTACTATCAACTATTACTGGGTAAAACAAGGAACACAAAATCAGGCGGGAAGTCACAGTTAGTTGTCCTATAATGCTTCTGCTTTTGTTAAAGTTGAATTTACTTGACCTTGATAAAAGCAGACATCGTCTTCAAAACTCTTGCCTGGACAGACTATAAAGGCAGAAAGCATATACCAATGCTGCTATTACGGTCGCCATGGGACTAACACTGCTCAAGCAGAGAAATGTCATTTATCTGGTATAGTTTAATCAATATGTATGCCTCTAGCCAACTTCCAGTCTATCTGAAAAAATTTCCCATTAATTCTGTAATGCAAAGCTACATAGAGATTTAAAAAGTCCTGAAGAGGTGAAAATAAAAATGAATTAGTTTTATTTCAAAAAATTGTTTTATTTATTCAATACATTCCTCCATTATTCTGTTGAAGCCTTGCTTTTATGATATAGCAAAAATGTCTTTGCCTATATATTTTTTTGAAAAACCAACAAAATGACAAGGATTTAAGAAATTTCACTTTCTTATTCAGATTAGGAGACATCGACAGCCTTGAACCTGAACACATGAAGGAAGTGGCAGAGGAAATGCTGAGATGGTAAAAAATAGAGAATGGTCAAACTGAGGCAGAGGGAGCATCAACAAGTTGCAGAGCCCCTAGAATATCATCAATGGAGGTATTGCTGTTGTGAAGATGGGCAAAGTCAAAAAATAAGGAGACATGACTTCTGGGAAGCAGCAAAAATACAAACACCAGAACAAAAGAGAATAGTGGTGGAAAATGTACAGGAGAGAGAGAAAGACCTCCAAAGTCCCTAACCCTGCAGATCTAGAACTCCAATAGCCATGTTGATATTCTCAAAGCAAGAGGCGGAAGGGCCATTCCCTGGAAAAATCAAAAATCAAAAAAATCAAAAATCATCTGAAAAATGTCCTAGAGATACTTCTATCTGTATATGCAAAGAAAACACTAAGTGTCTATCCCATTATTCTATATCAAAACCCACCAGGTAGCAAACCTACAAGCAGATTCAGGCACAGACAATACAGAGAGAGCTTCTAATTAGTTTTCTGGTGCTCACATCATAAGTAAACAAAGGACAAGAATCTTCAGACATCTGAGCGAAATCTGTCACATTCTAGAGAAGACCAAAATAAACTAAGAGGAAAGCTGCAGAAATACTGGAAAACAGGGAGAAGAAAACTTCAAAGACATCGTATATATTTATTAAAATGAGGTCTTACAGTCATTATAAAAGCAAAGCATGATTAAAATGAAAAAAAAATCTGAATAAGAGAAAAAAAGATAGAAAAAATACAGTGACAGGATTAAGAGGTAAAATTAGAGAGACTGCCCAGGAAGTACACAGAAAGACAAAGAAGTGGGCAATACCACCAAAAAGATGAGAACCTTAAAAATGAATGTAAGACATCTAATATCCAAATAAACAGGTATACAAGAACAAGAAAACAGAGAAAAAGAAAGGAGAAACTTTTCAAAGAAAATAACAACATATTTAATAACTCAGTCCTATAATTCTTAGAACACGGGGCTTACTGAACACTCAGAGCAATCAATGAAAAACAGCTAGTACAGTCATTCAGATATTTTAGGATACACATATGAAAAAAGATCTTAAAGCCTGCATAGAGAGAAATTGAGAAAAAATGCGTAAGACCAGAAAATGGCTCTGGACTTCTTTACAATACTGCAAACCAGATGATAATGAAGAAAAACCATCAAAATGCTTTCCAATCTAGATTTCTATACCCAGCAAATTACCATAGGGTCATCATCTTTGGGTAGTGCCCTGCTCAGAATTGTCCTCATGACAAGTATATAAAGAGTCTGTATACATTATTTATGGCTTTATTTTCTAATATCACATTCTCTTTATGCACATGAGGGAGGGTAACCCTTTCAAGCAACCTGCCATCCCTTTCCTTATACCACCCCCAAAACCACCCAACTACTTATTTTGTCTCAACTACCTCAATACTGTAGCCCTTCCCCTTCTCCAGATCATCTTTAAAGAACGACAGTCCCAAAATAAACACAGACTTATATACTTAAAAGTCTAGGCAAAAGACAAGTAATAACTTATTCATTAGAAGGAAGTTTCCCAATTTTTTTTCTTAGCCTAAAGAGCAATAAGGAAAATAAACAGATAAAACCACTTCATCTTCTCATATGCTTTATACAGCAGAAGGACACCTAATGCACTTTAGATGTTTATAATGTTCCATCTGGATCATTATCATATTAAAGTGAAACTCTAGTCTATAATCAGTTATTAGTTCTGTTACACTATGGTGGAATAAACATTCAAAAATAATTATCCCTTCCAGTCTATTCTCGACAAGGTTTTTAAATATCGAAAATGTTTTATAATTTTGAACATAATAAGCATACACACACAGCTTCCCTTCCCAGTCCCTTTTCCAAAGCAAACAGAGAAACAAGAAGTCTGATAAATATACATACACTCACATTCACAGTCTGTGACCCTGAACTCATATTCCCTCTCTGCTTCCTCTCTGATGAATATGTAAGCACTGAGTACAGAGGTCATTGTCCTCACTGAAAAAATCCAACTGCATTCTAGGTGACTCTATGTTTGAATCATGTAAAGAAGTAGTATGGTAATCTGGCTACTTACACCACAGTATCGGTCATCATTAAATATCTGAGGTGGCAAAGGGTTGCCCTGAGTGGGTTTCTTTTCCGGGGGGACATTTTTGTACATCCATTGCCTCTGTTCTTCTGACATGGTGATATCTACTTCTTCAAATTCTATCTTGTTGGCTTCCAGAAATCTAACAACATCCTGTTGTTTCTTCTTTATCTAAAAAGAGAAGACAAATAAGGAGACATGTTCATCCAAAACAGTATGTAAATACTTCCAAACTGAACAAGATTTGAATTCCCATTGTCAGAAGTCACTGTTAAGAGAAAGGGGCAATATTCACTGGCACCACACACTGACCACTGACTGGATGTCACCAGATGCCAAAACAACTCTGAACACAGTGATTTCTCCACCTAAACTCCCTGGAAATCTGGAACAAAACTCAGGCTGCCTGCTAGGAACAGACTGTGTCTGAGGTGAGAGTATGACTTAGTTCTCAGAGGGTCATAATGATTCCTCCTTCCCCCACCCACAGAAGTTGACATTTTCAGTCATGAAAGCTCCCTCAGTATAAAGCCATTTAAAACCACATATAGCCCATCTGAGATGTCAACACTTCATTGATTCCTGTGAGTAGCAACATTTTTATTCCCCTCAGCAGCCTCTTTCAGATATTCCACAATGATAGCCACTGTCATGAAAGCATCCTTTCATCAATTCACCAGAGAAAAATGTTCTCCAGCTCTAAAGTGTGAATAAACAGCAAGCACCATCTACTTAAGACTATTTCTTAACCCCTGTCATCCCCCCTGATCTTTCATGTTTCCTTCTTTAGTCACTAGGGGTCAGGTGTGCTCTTAGGAGTGGCAAACACATCTGTAGCCTTTCAAAGTGCTGCCAATCTCTATAATTTAAAGGTACATATTAATGAATTTTGATGGGTGACGTAATTGATTATCTTAAACACAGCACTATATAAATACCAAAACAAGTATATCTTTTATAAAGGTTCTTGGAAATCTGCATAAAGAATAAACTTTAGTGGTGAAGTAAATTTGTATTTCTGGTTGACAACATTTTAAAAAAATTATTGATGGAACACTGCATTATAACATTATATAAGTTTCAGGTTTACACCATTATAAATCTGCATCTGTATATACTAAAAGTCCAATTCTATCCATTACCATATATTGACACCTTTAACCCAATTTATCCATTCCCCTTTCTCTTGGGGTAACCACTAATTTAGTCTTATATTTTAAAACCTTCATCTTTTTTCTTTATTCAATTACTTGCATTTCTTGAAGTAAATATTGTAATGGCCACTGAAAATAATCTTCTTGAGAGGTCAGGCCACCAGAAAGAACCCATTATAGAAAATAAAATGCTTAAAGAACAAACTTTCACATACCAACTGCTACTACCAAAACCTCTCCTTCTAAATTTCCCCCAAAATGTTCAATGACCTTTGGCTCTAGAGGTGGAAGTCTGGGTATACCTTGAGTAAAGAGATTCTGATTACCACTTGAAGTCTATGAATGACTAATAGGATGACATAACTAGTATGGACAGAATAAAAAAGGCATCTTTAAATTCCATATCAGAAGATGAAAGAATTACTATATGGTTGTAAACTCAAAATGATAATGACATTATCTTGACTTCCTATGTTATTTTTCATTTCTGAATAAGTTAACTTTCTTCCCTCAATGATAGATAATTTCAGAAAAATCACCTTACTCTGATGGCAAAAGGCTACCATTCTACTACCCCTAACAATACTACAAGACAGATGTTATTGTTCCTGAAAGTAGCCACCTATTTTGATCAAGGTCTGGGGTGTGCTCTTGTCAAGACAATCATGTCATTCTTTACTTAAAATCCCTCTTTAGTGGATCCCCAATGCTCCTGAAAGAACATTCACATTTACCAGCATAGCAAGATCTCCTCATGATCTAGTTCTGACTATAAAAGCAGTGTATTTGCATTTTCAAAAATACAGAAACTGTAAAATGACCAACAGAAAAAGTATCTAATTCTACTACCCAGATAGCCATTCTGAAAATTTAACTAAAGGAAGGTCTGGACTCAATATCCAGATTATAATGTAATAAGTGGTGTCTACATATCTAAGTACATTTCAAATGTTCACTGACTGATAAAAATGCACTGATACCTAGCCAAGCCTTGTTTTCCTTTATAATGTATATACGCAATAGCATCTACCCTATGTCAAACACCAAGTACCTAAAAACTGCATCTATACATTCTCAGTATTAGAATACATCAGAGACACATTTACATCTTACTTCCCCATCCCTTCCCCCCCACACACACAGCAGGTATTATTGAACTATAATTCCCTATAACTCCACTGGTCTTTCCTTCATAGGATCATACTCAGTAAAAATAGTTGCATCTTGCCTCTTTCATTCAATAATATGAATACTGTCCTGTCATTAAAATTTTTTCAAAAACATGAATTATCAATAGCTGGCTGGTAATTCTACCATGTAGATGTACAGTTACCTACTACTTTATTGTTAAGCTATTCAGTCAGCATAACATAACTTTCACCACTAGAAATAACATCATATAGTGAACTCCTTTACCTAGAAATCTTTAGCTACTCCCTCAATATTACTCAGCACTACTTAGAACAAAATCTGATGAATAATGTCCAGGTCAAAGGTCAGATATACTTTCCAAGTTCCTGAAGGATTCTGACTATTGATAAACTACTTTTTAAAAAGGCTTCATCGATTTACATTTCCATTAGCAATGTCAGAAGTGTTCCCATCTCAATACCCCTCCCTCCTTATAGTAAATACTTTAAAGCTGTATTGTAGAATATTAAAATTTTAAAAATGTGAGGTGATGAATACTAATTAAATTTATTGAGGTAATCATTTTTTTAAAACAGACTGAGCCTGATTTGGGGAGGGGGGAGGTACTTGGAATTAGAACAGAGTTAAGCAGATGTGTAGAGCTTAAAACAGAATATATGCAGTCTTGTGCTTCTCTGGCTTTTCCAGCTTCAGCTTGCACACTGGTACTTCTTAGGAGACCTGGAGGTTTTCAGGCCCTAGCAGTCCCCATTTTGGCTCAATTCTGTTTGGCTGGGCATTCACCAGGATAATGTGAGAGTTTTATTGTGAAACTAATTTTGAAATTTTTTCCCCTCTATTCCCAACTGCCCTGCACACTAATTCTTTAAAAATCTATCACACTAAGTGTCCTTCCTTTGTCTTTGTGCACTTGAATGGCTGAACCTCTTTTAAAGCATGCACTCCTTAACAGGTTGGGGTCCTGGATGCCCCTCGGTCAGGTACATTTCACAACACGTACACATACAAATTCACAACACGTACACATACAAATCATTATATTGTGCACTTTAAATTGTACAGTGTTGTGTGTTAATTAATTTCAAAGTATCTAGCAAAAAGGATGGCTGCTGTTCAAAAACAAAAATTCAAATGTATCATTTTACACTGACAATCCTCAGGAAGCAAAGGATAGTTCCTTACTAACAATGGTGATGACTGACAGCAGTGTGAGAATAAATTGTTAAAAAAAAATAAAAAAAAGAGGGAGGCAGGGGAAGCCTGGTATAATTAAGTTTGTGTATCAAAGAAATCATTTTAATACTACACAATACCACAGGTACTCAGTTAACACTGCAATAAAAGGTCTCTAAGACATATTAGTAAATGGTAAAAGAAAATAAAAACAAGGAGCATTACTGTGTGTACACTAGGTATATATTTCTGAAAAAGAAAAGGGAGCAAAAGTAGAAACACATTTTTATTTGCTGATTTTGCTGATACTCAATTATATTTTTAACATGGCAAGTTTACTGAGAAAAGGAAAACAGGGAGAGACACCTGAACAGACACAGGCAGGCAGGACTGCTGTCTATATTCACATTTAAAATAAAAAGTCTTAGGGTTTAGATAAGAAACTAACAACAACGTGGGAAATGGGATCAAAAACGGGGGTGTGGGGGGATGAGGGAAGTGCACAGGACTACGGTGATGGCACACGGATGACTCAGTGATGGGAAACCCACGGGGACTACAATTGAGATGAAAAAATAAATGTACAAAGTGATGTAAAAATAAACTATTATATATACACACACACACACACACACACACACACACACACACATATATATAAAAGAAACTAACAACAATAATTATCTGGGTGTTGTTCCATTCTCTCCACATGTAAACTAAAAATTTTTGAACAGTGTGAAGGTGTCAGAAGATTAATAGCAGAAATTTATTTGGAGCGAGAAAGAGCTTCACATGGAGAGCAGCACAGGTGAGGGAGCATGGAGACACGGGAAGTATCGAGACAAAGACCGGCATGTTTGACAGAAACTAAGCTTTCCCAACATGATATGGGGCAGGACCCGGAGCAGATAGGCCAGGTGATTATAAAGAAATTAAAAGGAGAGTTAAGGCTACAGAAAATTAGCAATACTGCAGCAACACACCCAAATAAACAAAGGGGAGAAATTAACTCAGAGAAGGAAGTTTTCAAGTGGATACTGTGATATTAGTGTCAGGAAGGAAGATGAGTCACTCGACCATGGATGTTTTTTGAGTTGTTTTTAAGATTCACTTAGGTGAATGTGGCCTGACTGTGCGAGCCCAGGCTTGAAAGGTGGGAGGACAGGCCCCTCAGCAGGCAGGGGCTTGGGAGAAGACAGGCGGCCGGGCAGGGCCCAGGTAATAGAAAGGCTTCCCATGTGGTCAAAGGAAGCTGTAAAGACTTCATGTGCTGGCATAAACCCAGAGTTCAAATAACAATAACATACAGTCATTTCCGTGACACAAAGGGCTTCATTCTCCCAACGTTTCAACTGTTCTGAAACAAAATGTTCAATGTCCAAAGAAACTTAGGGAGTAAGTGGAAAAGAAGTAAATTGTGGGACCAACAGTCACTAACATCACTCATGGCAAGTTAGCCATGAATGGGGAGTATCTATGTGATTTGGTTTTTGTCTTTTTTAAACACTTAGAAGCCAAGCCTGATAATGCAACTTATTTACCCAGCAGCCAATATCCCTATCTTCTTTAATAACAGAAGCCTGTTTTTTTTTTTTTGTTTGTTTGTTTAGAAAAGCAATGTACCCAGCTACAAAAACTTATTTGCCAAATTGTCTCTGCAGTGAGGGGTTCCTGATGACCTGACACAGTTCT